GGATGGATCAACATGGACAACAAATACAAACAAGTAGCAGAAAATCCAGCAGCCTTTGACCTCTTCACTTTTGTGCTGGAATGTGAAAATCTTTCATGTCTCGGATCTTAAATCAAAGATGCTCCTTTTCAGCATCCCTGGAAACTTCACTCCACACTGCCCCCTGGTGGTCATTCGTGGCAACAACAAAAAAAAGGCCACATCTACAAACACCCTGTAAGCTTTTACCAAGACACAAAACTAAGTTGGACGTTGAGGTGGTGAAGACAGAAGCGAGGGGAGACCTCATGCAGACGTGCTGGCACAGTTAAACCAGAGCCGGCTTGATCGGCCCTGACAGAGGCACAGCCTCAGCCAGGGGCGTAAACTGCGTTAGTTATGTAAGCAGCCCATTGTTGCAGCCCATTGTTGCAGCCTGTCGCTGCTGCTGAAACTCAGACGATTTACATCATTTAGTTTAGGAGCAGAGAACAGATCAGTTTGTAATGAGCTGAAAGCAGACGCAGGAAGCTCCAGACCGAAGGACTGTTGATGATGCTCACCAACACTCAGATGATCCTCCTTCACACCTTTAAGGCGTTGCAGACACCCCCCCCCCCCCTACCCACAGGTCTACTGCGCTGCTGCCATCGAAGAACAATCACAGGAAGAATATTTATAGCTGCAGGCGTAAGAAAGCTTCTTTAAGCTGGAAGTTAATTGTTTGGTCTCCTCACCAGATGTTAATGGCGCAACGAAACCTCACAATCCTCATTTCAGATTGATACAAACTAAAAAAGAAAAAATATTTTACAGCTCGTTAATGTCACTGAAATAGATATAACACACATCTGCTTAACTGAAATCATGTGGGGTGAGTCAGAGCTTCAAGGTGAAATATAAGTACCGTATTTTCCGGACTATAAGTCACACTTTTTTCCCCATAGTTTTTTGGCCAGTCCTGCGACGTATAGTCCGAAACAAAATACCGATATACATTTTTTTCCCCTTATTCATGACGCAATTTTTGACTGACGGGTTAAATGTTCATTCATACTGACATGAACCAAAGAGTAAACATTACCTTTTGCAGCTGTGAGAGGGCCCTCTAGATTTTTGACAACTAAATGTTGTTCCTCTACTGCTAACCCCCAAACATTCACTTATAGACAACTGAGAAAAACTTTACATAAGTAAAATGCCCCCCAAAGTGATGTGGAATGAGGTGAAATTAACGGTAACTTGCTTGTCAGACTTGTTGGCTTGTTATGTTAATTAAGCCTGCTCAGGATCCCAGGTATGTTCTGTGTGTTATTCTTATTTCAGATTACCGTATTTTTCAGCCTATAAATTGCATTTTTTTGTGTAATTTACATGCCCTGCAACTTATAGGTCGAAGCAACGGATTTAAGGATTTTTTTCCCATATTTATAAACTAATTTTTGGCTGAGATATGACTGTTTTCATTCATTCTGACTGAAAAGAAATAGAACACCATCATTTTCAGCCGCAAGATGGCACTCGAGTGGTAAGGCATGCCGTTGTATCATGCAATAGGTAAAAGTGGCTATTAATAACACAATCAGCTTGCCATAACCTGCCACCGTCATCTGCCTGGAGCAACCGAATCAGCTTCATTTTGCTGCGCTGCCCCGGCGTAATGTGGCTGATTTGACCGTCAAATTGCATTTATTGAGTGAAAGTTCAACTGAGACACCTTTACTATAAAGTCGAACTAATAAATAATTGTTTTAGGTGGTTATCTTGTTAAATTTTGAAGAAATGGAGTCGCACTCAGCGTGTTCATGTTTCCGCATATCGGCTTTTGAAATGCAGCTGATTTGACCGTCAAAGTGCATTTATTAAACAAATGTTAGACTGAGACACACCTTTATTATAATTTCGAGCAAAAAAATAATTGTTATGTGTTAATCTTGTTTTCTTGTTAAAGTCCTTCTGTGCACCATTCGGCAGCCCATCGATTTTTGGCACAACACTACATTTCTGGGTCGTCAGTGGTGATGCATAACAAACGTGACGCGTCAGCGGTGGTTCATAGTAGATGTGACGTATACGGGGGAGCGACATATTTATGGATTTTTCCCACTTTATTAGACATATTTGGACTGATGCAACTTGTAGGGCGGAGCGACGTGTACGGCAGAAAATACGGTAAATGTCTGTTCTTGCACTTTGTGAAATACACTTCTGAATAAATGCAACTTATTTAAAAATAAAATAAAATTCCTCTTCATGAGGCATTTTTTGACTGAGGTGACCTATACTCCGGAGAGACTTATATTCTGGAAAATACGATAGCTAAAAATAAGAATTAAAAAAAAAAACAGTTATTTAATATAGGTAACTTCTTCATTGCAGAAGCCATTGCTTAATTTCTGTCCTTAAATCTAACAAAACAGAATTCTCCTCACCTTTCCTCCTGTCACCCCTCAGTCAAACACGGGCAGATTTAATGATGCACGTGTCCCCACACTGTTCAGATGGAATGATTTATTCATAATCATGACAGCATAATAAAACAACGAACATTGAAAGCACTGACATTTGAACCAAGGCCTCTCACACGCAGCATGCACCAGCCCAGTTCAGCCCAGAGTTCAAACAACTGAACCAAGTCCTCCATTCTGATTCTCAGTCAGTTTTCTTCTTGGTTTTTTGTAGGTTTTTTTTTAATCCTTTAAATATATTTTGATATAAAAACAAGCTCACATAAGATGACTCCACCATGTTTGTGAACTGGCTCTCTTTCTCTAGCCGCCCCCACCGTCACTTGTTATAATCTGGCCCTCCACCTCCACCCCTCACGTTGCTCCTCGGGGCTGTCGGTCGCAGGATAAACATGACTACTCTTCGTGCTCCTCTTAAGATGGGGCGGGGGATGCTTTAAAAAAACAATAGTATTGAAATGGTGGAGGTGGAGTGGGGGATGGCAATTCAACAAACACAAAAGTGAAATAACGTCCCTGAAAAAATAAGAAAAAGTAATAAAATTTGACACCTTAACAGTCTGATTAAAAGCAGTGTTATGAGTGGTGTGGAGCTCTGTAGGCTGGAGGCACTTTGACACAGAGTGACCCCCCCCCCCCCCCATCCACACCTGACAACACAGCTGATGGTGAGGGGGTGGGGGGTTGAAGGGTGGAATGACAGCTGGGCTGACAGGCATGCAGAGCCACATCGTGTATAGATGATGGAATGATAAAGAAAACAGGGTGGGGGTGGGGCATGATGGGAGAAAAACACATGACAAACATGGAGAGAAAGGCCAGCCCCCCCTCCAGTTAATGCCACGTTTCAAAAGGAGGAGGAGGAAGGACAGAGGGAGCAAAGGGTTAACTCAGGTGGAGGAAGAGGAGCAGCTTGGACCAGGTGAGGGTGGTAATGGAGAGGCAGTAGTGGGTGGAGGTGGGGGGGCGGTGTGGAGAGGAAAGCTTTACAACACAAACAGGAAAACAGTCTTTGTGTGGAGGACGACAGCCGGGGGGGTGGGGAGTGTGTGTGGCGGGGCACAGTGTGGCAGTCCCATGGGTCAGCAGGCTGGAGGAAGATGCTGTGGTCCCTCTCCTCCTCCTCCTCCTCCTCCTCCTCCCATTCTGGATCTGTGCTGGGCTGCATGTCCCCCCTCCCCCCTCTGTCTGCGCCTCCTCTTTACAGGTAGAGCTCCTTGGCTCTGATATGCTGCAGCTTCTCCCTCAGCATGCGGAATGAGGGCCGCATGGCGGGGTCCAGGGTCCAGCACTGCTTCATCAGGTCGTAGACTACAGGCGGGCAGCCATCTGGGGCGTCCATCTTGTAGCCTTTCTCCACCCGGGGCACTACGTCTTTTAGTGGCTGCGACACACACACAACAACATTTGACTCAAACGTGGGAGTGAAAAATGTAAAAAGTAGTGAAGCATGCAAAATTATTTACATCACACACATTTTAATCCCCTGCTTCAGTTAAACTGAACAAATGTGACTGGAGGTAAAGTTCACACAAACATTACTCCTGACAGGACAGAAACAGTCTGATGAAGTCGGAGCACTGAAGTGCGCCACCTGCTGGTGAATGTGAGATTCAAACACTCACAATTCTAGGGTAAGGCACACGGCCAAAGGAGTAAATCTCCCAAAGCAGGATTCCATAACTCCAAACATCCGACTTAGTAGAAAACCTCTGTTAGACAAACAAAAATACAAAAACAAGCATTCAAATTCACACATTCAGACATTTAAAGTCCACAAAATCCAACTGCAGCTAGATCTAGTTTTGGACCCCCCCAGAGCAAATCCTACAGACACAGTTAGCAGCATGTCAACAGCTGACGTGTCCAAGCAGCGCTCCTCCTCTCACCTTCTCCCTTAGTGCTTCAGGGGCGGTCCACTTGACGGGCAGCTTGGCAGTGTCCTGTATGGAGGAGGCCTCCTTGGTGAGGCCAAAGTCGCTGACCTTGGCGATGTTGTCGTCAGACACCAGCACATTTCGAGCTGCCAGGTCTCTGTGGACAAAGTTGTTGGCCTCCAGGTACTCCATAGCTTCACACACATCACTGACGGGATGAGATGATGGGAGGAAGACCAAGACAATCGTAAATAAAACCAGGAGCTTCTCCAGTTATGACAAAATAAACACTGTTCAGTTCTCCTTTCCTAGTATTGTGTCATCGAGATAAAATCCATTCACTCTTACTTCTCAAATAAAACCAAGGTTTGATTCAGTCCAGGTGCTGGATTACAGCACGAGTTCAGCTAAAACTGTTGAAAATAAACATCAAAGTTCATGCTCAGTAATCCAGGTATAAATCCAACAAAGCTCAGTCAGGTCATCTGGACGTTTTTTTTTTTTTTTTCTGAGACGTTTCGTCCTTCATCCAAAGGACTTCATCAGTCCGAGGAGCCACAAACAAACTGGAGTCCCACAAGCGCCACATAGTAGTGGAAAAAAAAGTAGTGAAAAAAAAAAAAAAACAACAACAAAAAACAAGTTTGCTGGTGGTGAGATGGTTTCTGGGGCTCACCCTTTCCCCTGTCAACACCTCTGAAGCAGCCATGCCAAAGTGGTTGGAAGTCCTTTGGATGAAGGACGAAACGTCTCAAAAAAAAAAAAAAAAAAAAAAAAAAGAAACAATCCAGATGACCTGACTGAATTACTGAGCATGAACTTTGATGTTCTGAACCACTTCAGCTATGGCTGCCTCAGAGGAGTGGACGGGGGAGAGGGACGGGCCCCACAAACCACCTTATCTTCAGCAAACTGTTTTTTCCACCATGGGATTGTGGGACTCAGTTTGTTTGTGGCTCCTCGTACTGTTGACGTCCTTAACGCCTCAACAACAAACGAAAACCATCCAGATGACCTGACTGATCATTGTTGAAACTGAAAATAAAAACTTGACATGCAGATAAAGCAGCCTCTCATCAGAGAACTCAGTCAGAGTAAAGTTTGTGGGAGAAAACAAATACTTTCTGTTAAACACAGTTTTGCTGAAATAAATTTTCAAATCTAGACAGCCGAACAAGTTTCTGATCCAAATGCTGCTTTTGCACAAATCCTGTGAAGAGGGGAGTGGTGGCGCAGAGGTTAGAGAAGGTGGGCCTGTGATCGGAAAGTCGCAGGTTCAACTCTTGGTACCGTCAACATCAAAATGTGGGTGGAAAAGGTGGAACACCCACACCTGCCTCCACCCTCATTTGCCCCACTCTGGGCCCCTGAGCAAGGCCCTTAACCCCCACCATGTGCTCCCTAAACAGGTCTCTCTTGAAAATGAGTTCTCGTGACTCAATGGGTCTACCTGTATAAATAAAGGCTAAATGAAAAAAGATACGTATAAGCAGAGATGAAGAGGACTCACAGTGAGAACTTGAGCAGGCAGTCTCCACCGAGGACAGTCCGTCCTCTGGACCGCAGGTAGTCCACCAGGCTGCCCTGTGGTACAGTTCAGAGTATTAATACACAGAAAACACTGATGTACCAGAGCATTTATTTTAACAAGCCAAAAGTTAAAAACAATTTTGAAACAATGATGATTAAATATCATCTGATAAGGTTCCTAAACTAAAATACCATGTTGGAGAGCTGCCTACCCAAGATAAAAGAAAACATGGAAAATAAAAGGATGTGTGACCTTTGCCATGTATTCTGTGACGATGTAGAGACTGCCCCTCTCCTCCACAATGACACCCAGCAGCTGCACCAGGTTGTTGTGCCTCAGCTGCCTGTACAAACACACAAAAGGTGGCAGAAATATGAGATGTTTTGCAGCAGAACATTCCTGTGAGTACTCATTGTTTTCTACTTAAAACGAGGGAAAAACAACAACAGGTGGGTTTAATTTTTAATTTGGAAAAATCAGAGGTGGGAGGAACGAGCCAGGAGTTCGGTCTTACGTCATGACGGAGGCCTCAGCGATGAAAGCCTGCGCTGTGGCATCATTTTTGATACACTTGACCGCCACCTTGGTCCCTCTGTAGTCTCCGACCATCACATCTGGAAACATGAACATTTCTTATTTTTAAATTTTAAATACATGGAATAAATTCAAAGCAACTTCAGCGTAATTACATCTTTGTCGCAGTACTGCACAAACGTTATTACCAGGTAGCTACTTTTATTGCCTTTAAATTTTGTTCCCCACAACCATAAACAGGATTAAGAAGGTAAAGACAAAAAGACCGATTAATAAATGAAACCAGACTTTTCTAATGACTGGGTTGAAAATGGAAGATGAGGGAAAGTGATCGGTGTTCCAAGAAAAACTGGAGAACTTTTGCTCAACACTACTTTATGAGATTATAGAAAAGTCTGGCTCTTACAAAACAAAATATCAAAACATAAAGACTGTTTTTTTCTTCAGTACCCTAAATAGGGTTTTAAGAAACGATGGGAGATTAGCTTCTTACCTCCAAACTCGCCTTTGCCAATGATCTGGAGGAGTTTCAGCTCCTTCCTGTTCAAGGCCCAGCCACCTGCAACAAACAAACAGGCTCAACAATCGTACTGTAACTCTATCAACACGGTCATCCTGTGTTGTTCTGTAGATGAAGCATTTCAATAGCTGCAGGCAAAGACTACTTAAGACATTAAAATGTTCAGTTTCCTTTTAACGGCAGCTATATTGTCAAAGTAAAAGTGCTACTTCTAGGGTGATCAAACTTTCATTGTTCTGGAGTAATAATTAGTCAGGTCAGATGGGTACATGGAGTAAAATGAAAGCAGACTGAGAAGGAGTGGGTGATACAGATTGACCTTGAGTGCTGGTGAAGCCCAGCAGTCCTTTCCACTCACAAGATTAATCCCCCTGCTGATTAATGCCATTAGGCTGGAGATGATAGCACAACTTTAAAGGAGATGCAGCTTGTGTGTGTTCATGGTGTATGAGCGAGGGATGGTGAATTTGTGAGGTTAACGTGGCAGTAAATAAACAAAATGTCCCTCTGAGCCTCGATGCCAGAGTCCCTGCGGGGCGGTGTAATGAGCGTAGTGTGCCCTTACTCCTGGAGAACTCGTCTTGCGCTGCCACGGTTCCCTCCATCAGCTTGGGCTTAATCAGCCTGGTACAAAGGCCATCGGCGTCTTTGGTGTAATGCTGCAGGAAGAAGCAGATTGAAACACTCGACTTAAGATCCAGATTCTCTTCCAGTTTATTAAGGCTTTCATCAAAAGACTGAATAATATTATTTTCTCTGCCATTTTGGAGCAAGGTTAGGGATAGTTATAAATTAATCTACAGTCTGTATAAACACTTTCATTATGCAAAATAAAAGCAACTCTGCAGACAAACATGAAGGTGGGATGAAACAAAGATTTGTTGTAAGATTTGAAGAGACGAACTGTTATCAGCTTGCATCAGTGTTGGAGGCGGAGGCTTGTCTCGGGGGAACAACAGAATCTCTGCCTCATTTCCATATAAAAGGTGTAAAAAAAAAAAGATGGAGGAGCTGCGTTGAAAACATGTACAGCCTTTAACTCAGCGGTGGAACAGGGCAAGCTGTTTACATAAAGTTTAGGAGCTGCTCATCTGTTCTAAGGAGGGAGGTTTCTGGAGCACATGTTTGCATTAATGTAGCTATAATGACAATTAGTCCAAGTCACAACTCTGCATCTCAATTTTGTCTTCTTTCCATTTTGATGTGAGGAGTCCAGCAGTGACTGCAACAGAGCAAACAAAACACGACTAACAACTTATACATTTAATTTGCAACTGCTAATAGCTTCAAAATATTTTTAACTAGAGAAACTGCATTTCCTGCAAAAATACAATGTGAATGCTTATTGCTGAATAATTTGCAGAAAAAAAGCTAAAAAAAAAAAAAAAGAAAGAAAGTTAAAATGAGCAAACAATAGCTGAAAACTAACTGAAAAGACAGAAAGAAGCTGAAATGAGCAGAAAGAGGTTGGGCTGAAAGTAGCAGAATTTACCACGAAAAACTTACATTTATCTGAAAACAGCTGAAATAAGCTAAAAAATGCTAAAAAGGTAGCTGAAAAGTTAGAACAAGCTTAAAATTACAGATGAAAGCAGAAACAACACATTAGCCCAATTGTGGTAAAAGAAACAGAAATGAGCACCAAAAAGTGGAAATTGTCTGAAAAAGCAGAAATTAAATTAAAAAAAAACCCCAGCTGAATAGTAGCTAAAAAGTCAGAAAAAATGTACCCAAAGGAAGTGGAGAGAACACAGTTGTGCCCAATAAGGCTTAAAGAAGCAAAAATGAGCACAAAAAAGTCAAAATTATCTGATGAATAGTAGCTAAAAAAAAGCAGAAAAAAGCTTAAATTACCAGAAGGAAGTGGAGAGAGCACATCTGTGTTGAATTTGAATGAAAAAAGTTGAAATTGTGCAAAAAAAAATGTGGAATTAAGATGAAAAAGCTAAAATTAGCATAAAACAACTAAATAGTAGTTGAAATACCATAAAAAGCTGAAATTAGCAGAAATAAGCTGAAAGGAGCAAAAAAGCTGATTTTAGCAGAAAGAAGTTAGAAGAAGAACAAAAATGCTGTAGTTAGCAGAAATAGGCTGAAACGAGCCCAAACCAGCTGAAATTAGCTCAAAGTAGCTGAAAAAAAGTTTAAATTTGCACAAAGATGCTGAACCAGAACAAAATGTGAAAGGAGCAGTAAATGGTTGTAAACAGATCTAAAGATCTGAAGGATGTAAAATGAGTTCAGTTAATTTTCTATGAGGAAAGAAATGGCCGAAAAGGCTAAATATTTCAAAAAGCTTAAGTTTCAGCAATAAGAAAGGTCATAGCAGGATTGTCCTGAACGAGCTGAACGTTTTGATTTATGATTTGTTGAAAAAGCACAAATTATGGAACAAGAAAGATGCTGAAAAACGTACAGAAGAAAAATGGATCACAATAGTGTGAATGCTTCATAAACATTCACACTATTGACGTAAAACTACTCCGCTTCAACATCAACAAGTCAAAGATGAAAGCACAGTACAGAGCCACCTTCACAATCACAGCTTTCACGTGAATTGATATAAATTGTTGGAAACCCTATTTATAAGTATTTTAAACTCTTTTTTTTATATCACCAACATCATTGTTTTGATAGATCCTGTTTGAAACATTGTGTGCATCTCCCCATTGCAACAGCTTTTATAAATACACTCGGAGATCAGAAAAGCTGGTTGACAAAATGTTCACAATCACCTGTTTTTACATTTATAAAATGGACTGGTGACATATTGACATAAGTTTGAAGGATACAAAATGTCTACTTGCTCTGTGATCTACAGAAATCGCAAAGAAAGACACGTCTCATGTGTCGCCATGATGCGATCCAGAGCTGGGCTTCAGTAACCAGTTCAAAGGCAGCTGTAGCTCAGGAAAAAATCCCAATTCATCTTTTAAACTGGTGTACTGGCTTTTTTAAGGCTGCAAAAATGAATATCCTTTTGCTCAGAACATGTCCCAAAAAACTGAAACAGCTGAGGAAGTTTTTGTAGAGGCTGCTGGAAGGTCAGGATGTGAGAGGGGGTCAGTATATCTGACTGTTTTCCCTAAGAAACAAACAAACAAAAAACTACGGCCAGCATCCACTTCTCATGAAATTAGTTTAAATGTTTGTATTGTGAATGCAAAGTCTCCTGCTAGAAATGTTGGTCAAATAATAAGTTTTACTATATCTGATAAAAATCTGTTTTGCAACGCGGGAAGCTCCAACAAGTCTACAGGAACTGCAAGTCACCGTTTCAACCACCAGGGGGAGCAAAGTGCAAGAAGAACCAAGCACCAAGGACAAATACAGAAACAGAAAACAATCCTAATTTAAAAACTATTAATTTATATCCGCCAGTGATAAAAGCCATGAATAATTTGCTAAGTGCAGTGTGAAAACTGTACAGTAACTAAAGTGATAAAACTGAAATTAGTGTAATACTGATTGTGTAACATGATTACATTTAGCTTGTTCTTTTTATACAAAATATTTCATTTTGTTGTACACAATAGCCATGGCTAAATCAAGATTCCCTCATATATAATTAAAGCAAAAGGGTGTAATCACACAATAAAAATACACACAAGTGTATAACAAACAACCATCTTCAAACTGCGATCACACCCTTGCAACCACATGCAGCCATATTTTCTTTATCACATCCATAACATCACTGTGGAGGCAAGTCAGGTTTTGTCAGCAAGCAGCATGTTTAGACATAAATAATGGCTATATGTCATGTGTGTATGTAAGAATCTCTGGGCGACCTGCTGTGAGCAGTAACCGCAGAGCAGAGGAACAAAGAGGAAAACAGACAAACAAGAATGTGAGGAATTCTTACGAAGGCTATTTACAGGGGAATGTCGACAGGCTGCAGGATAAAGACACAAAGAGCCCGACAGAGGGAAAGGGAAGGAGAGCAGAGAATATGAGACAGCGGGAGAAGGAGTGCGATGGATAACAAAGAGATGGAAAGCAATATGCCAGGTATCCACGAGGGAACACAAAGCGATAAAGACGAAGGGAGGGAGGTGAAGAAAGGAAGTAGAGGCAGAGTTGAGCCTGGTGGGTGTGAACAGGAGAGAGACTGCATGAGGACGAGAGAGGGCTGGACACACAGAGATTGTGGGTGGCTGATAACAAGACTGCACCGTGGATGAGGATGATCTCACAGTCAGCTGGCACATTCCTATCGTTCACTTCCAACGCCCCACTGAGTACAAAGATGAGGCCCAATTAAAAGTGTGATAGCCGCCAATCTTCTCTTTATCTGAGGGGATCAAAATGCTTTTGAACTTGTACCTTAGGTCCAGATTTAAGACCAAAAAGTGTAAAATGAATACCTATTGTTACTCCTTGTGTTCAGAGTTGCATAACATTGCTGTAGTGGGACTAATTTAACATAATACGCATAAAAGAATCAAATCTGGAAGGCAGGTAATAATTTATCTAATTTTATGTTTCACACTTTGGTACAAATATGTTTGACCAAAGTCTAAAATCTGTATTTATTGCTGTTTTTATGTTGTTTCTATCTACACAGTTATTAACTGGCAGATTAAATTCTTCTTTTTCTTTAGCCTTTTCCCTCTTCAGGGGTCGCCACAGAGAGTCATCCTCCTCCATCTCACCCTGTCCTCTGCATCCATATTTCTCCTCTTTGTCTTTTTCCAGGCAGATGCATTTCTAACATCCTTCTACCAATATACCCATGGTCCCTCCTCTGGACATGTCCAAACCATCTCAGTCTGGCCTCTCTAACTTTATCTCCCAGTTGTTCAACCTGTGCTGTACCTCTGATGATCTCATTCCTGATCTTATCCATCCTCGTCACTCCTATAAGGAGAACCTCAACACCTCCATTTCTGCCACTTCCAGTTCTCTCTCCTGTCTTTTTGTCAATGCCACTGTCTCCAGACCATACATTACAGCTGGTCTCACCACTGTCTTGTAAATATTTGCTTTGACTTTTGCTGACACCCTTTAGTCACAAATCACTCCTGAAACTTTTCTCCATCCACTCCATCCTGCCTGGACTCTCTTTTTCACCTCTTTACCACATTCCCCATTTTCCTGGACCATGGACTCCAAGTACTTGAAGTCCTGCACCCTTGTGACCTCTGCTCCTTGTAGCTTCACTGTTCCACCAGCCTCCCTCTCATTCACACACATGTACTCTGTCTTACTACGGCTGACTTTCATTCCTCTTCTTTCAAGTGCATACCTCCACCTCTCCAAGTTCTCTTCCTCCTGTTCCCTGTTCTCACCACAGACATCTGCAAACATCATGGTCCACAGGGATCCCTGCCTGACCTCATCTGTTAGTCGATCCATCACCAGAGCAAACAAGAAGGGGCTCAGAGCTGATACTTGATGCACTCCCACCTCCACCTTGAAGCTATCAATCACTCCTACAGCACATCTCACCACTGTCCTGACAGATGAAGTGTGTTATATAAATAATATTTGACCGACTAGTCCCATCTATTGCTTGTTATGAGCTTTAATATCCAGACTTTGTATAAAAAGAAAAAAAAAGTTTACAAAATAAATAGGCACAAATAGCGTTTTTGTCTATGTCAAAAAAAGGCTTATATTTATGTGATTCCAACAGTGCTAACCTTTGAAGAACATGCACTTGTGTTGAAAAAGAATTGTTGTTCTGTTAGGCTCCTCCTTAACAGCTGATTTTACCACACTTCATAATTTACTGAAATGGTAAATGAACTGTACTTGTAAAGCACCTTTATATTTTATCAATATACTCAAAACTCTTTACACTACAATCTGTGCCATCATTTACCCATTCATTCAGCACTCTACCTGCTCTACCTCTACCTGCTGAGGAGACTCTAACCACCCAGCCACAGATGCCCTAAAATATAATGTCCTGAATAACATCTATAAGTCAGAGTTTTGTCTATTTGAACCCCCAGTAGGGCCGAGTACCGAACCGAGGTTCTTAAATGGCACCCACCGAACTGCACCGGTCGGTGTATGTATTGAAACGTCACTCTTTTTCGGTGTCAAGTTTCGGTATTGGCTGTAACGTGTCACGTGGTTTCAGCACGCAGGCAGGTAAAACACCAGACATATGACAAACAAGACTACGTGTTTACACCCAGAGCTGTATAGAGCTGCCGCACCTAATCTATGTCTAATGTATGTCTATGGTGCTGGTGACGCCCACAGACGGGGTTCACGTGTGCAGTGCGTGTTGTCGAATGTCTTCGACAACACACGAGCAGAAAGTTGCTCCGTGTTTTTCTGCAAGAAGACAGACGGACAGCAGCCTCCTCCCCCCTCCTCCTCTCAGCGTTAGTCCGTCTGTGTGTGTTAAACGGACTCGATCAACATCTCCACGGCCTGACTCGTCTTTATCAAAGAACTCCAGAGGACGGCTCTGTGTCTGTGTTTCAGCTGGTAAGTTTACGTTTGTTAACGTTACTGCAGCTTAACACGTCCATTGCGGTGAATTAAACTAGAATCCATGTAACGCCAACTTTAAGATATTAGTGTGTAAATTTATTTTAATTTATGTAGCTAGCTAAACTCTGAAGCTAACTAAAGATTGACAGTAACAGATGAAGCTTAACTTGTAAAAATGTGCTCATCCATCCAGTCAGCTGCTTAAACAGTTCACCTGATGTTCACTGTTTATGTTAATGTTCTCCTCACAGGAGCCTCTGACGTGAGGACAGACAGACAAAAGAAAAGTGAGGTGGAGGCCACAGGACAGCCACAAACTTTGTTAAAAGTTTGTGTCTTTTCTACAGTGGAAGCTGCATGTTGGAGGTAAGTTAAGCTGTAAAGGATTTTGTTGACCAGCGAAGCTTTTATCTCTCAGCCTAGATAATGTTTGTTTGAGCAATAATAACACAACCATGTTATTGTTGATGTTTTGTGTTCTAATGTCAATTAGGGAGATGATCTGAGCACTAAACCCCAGAGAACCACAGAGAAGATTCAGGAAGAGACACAGAGGTGCAGAAGTCTGCATCAAACCTAAACTTAGTGAATCCAGTGACCTGCTGGTGAGATGTGAGGGACAATATGTCAAACTGACAATCAGGTATCTGTGTGTGCAACAATCATCATCTACACCCTCAGAGTGAACATTTTCTACTGCTGGAGACACCATCAGCCAGGAGCAGGCTTGTTTGTGTCCAGAGAAAGCAGACATGTTGATGTTTCTGATGAAAAACTGTTAAGTGAAAAGCTCCTCAGTGTGTAGCAGTGAACATTAGACACTGACATGTCACTTGTTGTTTTCAACTGTTCTTTTGAACTGGAAATTATTTGTTTATTTTTATGTAAGAAAACTGCTTGGAATAGAAATACCAAAGTTAAAAAATAAAATTCACAATATGTACTGTAATGTGTAACAAAATTTTATTCTTGTTAGAATTAATAGTAATTGCAAAATTGGTGCCGAAAAAAGAACCGTCCAGGAACCGACACAGATTTTTTAGAAAGGTACCCAGCCCTAACCCCCATTCATCCAACAATATTTTACTAATACGTAAGCTGTAACTGGGAAATATTTGGCTGGTTTTTCCTGAACAGCCTTTGAATGATAAAATTTATCAATTAATTGTTTTTCTACTAATCCTTTTATCACTTAATTACGACTTAGTAGAAAACCACTATTTTCTGCATCGTTGGTTTAAGGGAAGAAAACTGTCACAGAGGCGCCCTGAAAGTTTCCCCTTTCCCTCATGACTTTTTACGTGAAAAGGAAGTGATCAAAAACACAAAACTAAGGGTCAAAGGTCAAACCTTTCGTGTCTTAACAAGCAGTTTATTAACAGGCTTTCTCTGTGGTTAAGGCCAGCACTGAATCTATCAGCTTTTAGGTTCAAGTTAAAAAATAAAACTCCAAATGAATCTTTCCACTTTCCACAATGGATGCCTACAGCTTTGTGTGTAGTAAAGGGCATTACTGCAAGAAAAATTAGAAGTGTAAATCATGTGTTCATCATCAAGCCTCACCTCCACCAGCTGCATGAGATTCTCAAAGAACTCCTCCTCATCAATGGTGAGTTTGCCGTTGTGGTAGATGATGCGGTAGTGCTCCACCTTGCTGTCGCAGCTGACACACAGGGTGTAATCGCCAGGATAGTTGGTGCTCTCCCTGACCAGGAACAAGCCTGTCTCAGGAGGGTAGAGGAGCCGCTCTGCCTGCTCACGGGTTATCTTCCCATGAAACCAGCTGGAAGGATAGAGGAGAGTGGAGGACAGAGATTCTGACATTGTTTATGTAGATCAGTTCTCAGTAACAATCAAAATCCTTCAACGCATCTTTAAATACAATCACACTTCTTTTTATTTTCATTCATTTGCAATTTCAGCCACACACACGCATGCACGCACACACACGCTCTCATCATTTCCCTCTGACAGGAAGCAAAGAAAAAAGAGTTGGGTAGTAACAGGAAGCCAGCAGCAGGACTTCCAGTCTGCTCAGCTTGAGTGCTGCAGGGGCGAGGTCTGCTTCTATTAAGGATTCAGTGAGAATGTACCTGAACCCAAATAACAGGAACCCCCCCCCCCCCCCCACACACACACACACACACACGTGTGCACACACAAGATGTCTGAGGGCAGTTGGAAACTGACATGCAGGCTCTGCAATAACAGGAAAATGCAAAAACAGCTCAGGCGAGACAGCGAATAGAACGAGCCAAGAAACCCAGTCCTGACTGATGACGTCAGAAAGACCAAGAGATGGACTGACCTTTGACCCCATAACATATAGAAAGAAGCAAGAAGACACAACTCCAGCTCATGTCAAGTAACAGAACTGACCACAGTTTCACATTTTCTGGTGACAAAACAGTATTGTAAATTTAAGTCCCAACAGGAAAATTTTGTGTTTTTTAAACTAATCCTTTACATCTAAAGAGGTTTCGTTCACCAACTTTAACATCTGCAGTTGCTGAAAGACACAAAAATCAAAATTCTTAAAAGTGTTTGAGTTTCCAACCTTAAATACACCAAAACACTGGACATTTTTCCTCTACAGATCAATAGCTTATTTAAATACCTAAAACAAAAGAATCATAGCAACCTCAGTCAGCACATCACACTGAACCCTGACTTCCTAGAAGAGGTATTCCTTGATGAGAAGTTCTTCCCATCAGTGCTGGTTGGTCAGTGGGCGGTAATTAACTGCTCTAATTGATTTATCCTGTTTTTGTGCCTGCCTCCGTCACACCCTCAGACTCCTGCAAACTTGTTCTCATGAGACAGCAGAGACTCTTGTGGAAAAGCAGCTTAACACGGGTTGAGTTGATTAGATCAGCGCAGGCAGATTCTCCGATGGACAGCAGCTCTTTAACTCCCACTAATCTGAGGACAGGCGCCAAGCAATGTGGATACGCTCTGTAAAGAGACACGGCTGCTCTGTCCTGTCCCAGGAAATCAACTGCAGTTTTCACAGATGACATCATAATGAAATAGGCGAAAGTCAGAAAGTCGCGGTAAACAACTTGTTCAATATAACATGGAAGAAGGAAGTAGGACCCTTGGGCTGAATGTCGCTGCTTCTTTTTTCAGCCACATGGGGGCAGCAGACAGAGCAGATGCAGTGTGGTGGGCCAAGACCATCTTCTGCAGAGCAAAACAAGTGAGTGTGAGCATGGGGACAGAAGACCACAGCTGAACCCTTATGTAACCCAAAACAGAGGGAAAGGCCTTTCCTGGGACATCTGTTAGTGATTCGTGACAAAAATGAAAACATCCCTTTGAGTTACAACCAGTACCTTTTGATGGACTGAGAAACAGGGACAAACTTTAAAATGCAGTGACCTCAGAGGCAACAATAAGACCAGCAGCAACAATCAAAACCGATTCATTTTAATAAATGTGCATTTTGTTTCTCAAAGGGAAAACACAAACCTACAGGAATAATTATGTCAACATGCAGAATTTTTATACATTTTTAATTAAACTCACAGCTTTGCTGTAGTTGTAGTCGCTCTTTGGTTCAGCAGTGTGTTTTTAAGTGTGACTGTAAAACTCTCATTGTTTAACAAGACGTGGAATGTTACTGTTCCGGCCCACAGTAACATGCTGGATGACACAGTGACCGAGAGCACAACAACGAGGACAGACAGTATGACGGGTGGAAAATGGAGAGGTTGAAGCTTTCATGAGTGGCTGACGACGAAACAAAGAGGGTCAAAGACGATTACACATTTCCTGCTAACAAGATGTTGGCCATTGTGAACTCCAGAAGAGGTGCTGACAAGGACTGCAATGTACACAACTGTGTGTACTACCTTTAAAGCTTATTTTGTAGCAAAATTATTTTCTAGATGGATGGAGCATCCGGACAGTTTTAGTTTTACATACAACCAGTCTGTATATATCTTTTAAACAAAATAAAACCACTAAAATGATAAATATAATTTATCATACGTTATTTAAATATTAAACATTTGACCTAAATGCACATTTAGGTGTGACCTAAATGCACATTTAGGTGTGACCTAAATAACTCAGATGAGTTCATACAGGAACCGACTAGAACTTGTTCTTAGAACCTCACATGTGTAGATAAAATTATGAACCATTTGTTAATATACAAAGATAAGGAACTTGCTTATTTTCACTTTAAGGGTAAACACAAACAATTTGGAAGTTTACAGGACTTTCTGTACTCCACAGTTCTGTTTTGATCTTGCTGCAGAACCAGCACAGCTTTCCTGTCTCGTTTATTTGCACAGACCTTTCATCAGGTTGTCCTCTTTTTAAAATGCTGCCGTTTCAAAGGACCTGAAATGCCCCTGTGATGTAGAGCACACGTGGCTCTGGTTCTCAGACAGTGACACAAATACCAGAAGACACAATAAAAAGCTAATAACTTTAAGAAACATATTTTCCACCATTTGATGTTGGGGTTGATTCTCCCTCGCTGCAGTAGAGACAACTAGATGAACGTGTGACGTAAATGTGCAAGATGCATCCAACTGTTGTCATATTCTTCCTCATCATTCTGCAGAAGTGTCCTATCAGGATAACTAGCTGCTATTACAGTCAAATGATTTACAAAGACGTAAAATTACAAACACAGACATGCACTCTGTACTCACGGCATAAGACTTAGTTTCCCTCCAGACTTGACTCCTTCCCTTTTCTGGACATAGTTGGCTGGAATGGTGCCCTCCCTGCCCACTGTGTTTCTTGCTCTGTACCAGTTTGGATCCTGAAACAGTACAAATCAGCAAGGAGTTACTAAACCGTGTGAAAAATTTAAGCCATTTAGTTGAACAGGGAAGTCGTACTCCTCTTATCTGAACAGAGTTTGAAATTAGGTGGTGCAGAATAAAGACATGATGCTCTAGACACATGAAAAAAACTAAATTTCATGTCAACACAAGTTGAATCAAATATCTCTTTGCAGTCATTAAGGTTAAAAAATGTAGTACTGCACTTTCAATTAATTTATTTAATTAAAAGGTCAGAGTACATTAATCACTATCACTGAACATTTGATCATTTTAAAGTCTGACATGTTATTCCTACTGATGATATTACAATAGTAATAGTAATGTATACAGTTTTGATCAGTCGAGAGAAAAGAAAGTCTTGATGGTTTTTAGGACATTTGCTGTTGTATGCGACCAGGTCATAAGACAGTACGATACATGAAAAAACATAATTTGGTGCATACACGTTTTAGCCACCTGTAAAGTGAGTAACGGTCTAATAAGACAAAAATTAGCCAAGTTAAATTTTATAACATTTGTAGTCATATAATATGTTGCCCAAAAGTAAGATTTGAAAATGCAATGTATTTTTCGTAGTTTTAAATTATTCCATGACATGTTTTTACTCTACTGACAACTGCCTGGATCTAGTTAGTTCTTATCAGTAATTCTGAACAAGAAATTGGTGGATAACTGTTTTTCTTTCTTTTTTTCTTTTAATTATGAAAAAGTCGTTCAATTTAATAATAATTTAATAAGACAGTTTGAAAACATAGGATAATAATTATTTCATATAGATATTGTTTCATAAGATTTATTGAACATGTTAAGAAGAGAACAATGTTCCATTTCATCCAATTAACTGTTGTAACTCTTAAGTACATAAAACAAGTAGCATGCACGCAAGTTATTTTGTGAATAATGTCCAAAATCCCAGGACGAGAGCTCTGAAAGTTTATGGATACAACATAAATCCATTTACAGGAATATTGTCAGTTTTCTTACCCTGGTGACTGCAACAATGGTCAGTACATCTCCTTTGCAGAAGGGCAGGTCCTGTTCATTGCCAGGCTTGAAGTTATATTTAGCAACACACTCTGTGCCAGTTGACCATGGCACCTGCAAATATAGAAAACACAGAGGAGCCATATTTAAATGTTATAGCTCAGTCTATTTAGAGGAGATGTTTGTTTAGATGTTTGTTTTAAGCAGTGGGACATGGCTATGACCAGTTCTCTAGCCTTTGATACCACAGCTGTACAAGATCAACAACTGTCATCTGTTTGACACAGTGCTCATTAGTACTGTGAGTTCTGATGAAGCAGCAGAGAAAACTGTTTTTCTACTGCTACATACGGCACATTATATGCCCATCGACAAACTAATATACAGCAATACAGAAATCTATAGTACTGGTTTGGTTTGCGACCTTGACCTTCGAGCTGGGGTGATGAAAAGATTATGTGACATGCTAATAGTGGTAAAAATGCGTATCAAGTTTTGTAAAATTATTTGAGCGGATCAGAAGTTATAGCCCTGACAATCACAGACCTTTTTTTAACTTTGACCTTGATTTGCGACTTTAAACTTGAAGCTAGGCTGATGAAAAGTGTATGTGACACTCCTTCTTGTGATGATGTGTGTGTGTATAGAGCAGTGTTTCCCCTACCATTATACAAGCAGGGCGTCCCGCCGTGTCAACAGAACCGAGCGCCTTGCCTACCGAACCGAACTGCCCAACATTTATCAGCATTTTGTTCCAGATAGTAATTTGATGGTAAGGATGGCTAATTCAGCTGTTTTATTGTTGCGATCCATCTGTGACAGTGGTTTCTGTGGTTTTCATTTGTCATTTAAAATCCTTTACTAGAAAAAGTTCACCATCACACAGTTTAACTTGAGAAAAGTGAACTTTGTTTGCGATATCTACATCTAACAGCAGCAGAAGCAATAAAACCTAGCAGCTGTTGCACCAGAACAGGACATTTTAAACAAACAAGGAGATATTTTATAAGCAGTTTTATTTGTGTTTTTTTTTTTTTTTTAATGGGGGGTGATAACACCAAACAGAGGACAGCATGAGAACCACTTAGAGAAATCTGTTTGTAAATATATTTCCATAGCTTTTATAGCATTAGCAATTTTGTACAGCAACTTTAAAATATGTGAGAGTGAAAGGCAAATGTGTCCCTTTAATACCAACAACTGACAGTGAAAATGGAAATGGCCAATGGACCAAACAAGCTCTGTAGGGATTCTGTCAGGAACTTTAGATTTAAAAACCAGTAAAAGATTATTGCCCAATGAGTTACTTACAGTAACCTACATTTAAATGACCCTATACCTACAATCAATAAAATATTAGTAAAGTGTTTTCCTCCACGAGCTCTTTGTAAACTAAGAAATTTCTGCTTTGTAGTTGTATTTCTTTACCAACCAGTCAATTAGCATTTTGCACATTTACTACTGTCAGACAAAAATTGCAATTAATATAATATAAAACAATGTAATGAAAGAGTATAAAGTATATAGTTCTCTAAAACAGTGATTTTTGACAGAACTCTGAAGCAGTGAGAAGCGCTTCAAATGTTAGCGTTGCTACAAAAGGTCACTGATTTGAATACATTTTTTTTTACATGTATCTTCAGGCTAGCAGCTCAAAACTTGGTATGAGATCCTACAGGGTTTTGGTTTTACTAGATCGTTTTTATTTATTATGATTAAGTGCAAGATGTAGACACAATTATGCTTTGAGGTCAAATTATTGTGGAGACAATATGAACATTTGACTCTCTAAATCATAAAGAGTTAATACAGAAGTTTTTAAAAACACTTACATGAATCCCAGACATATTGAGGGGAACTGGGCAGCAGGTATCCTCAAGCAGGCAGTGGTCACAGATCAGCCAGTACCATCAGAGCTGTAACACAGAATCCACAATATTAAGAATACAATGAGCATGCAACTGTTGTGGATGAGAATGTTTCTGTTGCATGAATAAGACATTAACTAACAGTAAATATAATTGTGTGTTTTGTATTTTGTTATAATGAAGTCAGATGTAGGACATGGGGAAACAAGTTAAAAGTTGACATGCAAACAGATGAAATGGATCAGAAGAACCTCTACATATGCAGGCTGGTGTTTAAGATGTAAACACTGGCATTACAGAGACACAGGTATGTGTACCAGACTATGAAATCATATTGATTCCTCAGGTTGTTGTTGTTTCATCGTATATAAAGTTTTTCTTCTTCTTTTGGCTGCTCCCTTCTTCAGGGGTCGCCACAGCAAACACTTGCATAAAGACTTGGCAATTGATTTTACGCCGGATGCCCTTCCTGACACAACCACAGACCAGGGAGCTACTACAGCCCTCTGTGTGGAGCAGGGAGCTGCCATATAGGGCACCCAGGGGAGCAGATGGTTGGGGTTAAAGGCCTTTCTCAAGGGCCCAGAGTGGGGCAAATGAGGGTGGAGGCAGGTGTGGGTGCTTCACCATTCCCACCCATATTTTGATGATTGTCGGTTTGGAAAGTTAAACCAGCAACGTTCTGATCACAGGCTCACCTTCTCTAGCCTATGTGCCACCACTCTCCCCTATTTCATGGATAAATATGAGTAATGAAAAACATTCCCATGTTGTTTAATAACTTTATCTAATGGAAGCATATATAAAGTAAAAAGTATTGGTCCAATAAGTGAATCCTGAGGAACTCCATGACTAACTTTGGTGTATGAAGAAGATTTATTATTTACATTTACAAACTGTAATCTATCAAATAGATATGATTTAAACCATTTTAGAGCCGTTCCTGTAATATCAATATCATATTCAAGCCTCTGTAGTGGAATATTGGGATCAACTGTATCAAATGCAAAAATCTAAATTGCAAGAAATAAATGTCAAATTTCATTCCGTGTGTTTGCAACCAAAAGAGCTGTGTGGCTGTGTTTTGCTCGGAAAGATTAATAATTATTTTACATTAGCGTGGTTAGGTCTTGTGATGGACTTCAGACCTGTCCGGGATGTAAATGATCATAAGAGATAGACACCAGCTCCTCTTGTTGCCTTGCAGAAAAGTAGGTAAAGAAAATGGATGGCAGGGTGATGTGGTTAGATCTGGACATATGGAACTGTAGTCTAGGATGCTTTTTCCATAAGGAGAGCTTCACTACTGTTGTCAAAGAATTACAAAAACTAAATAAAGAACTATCCAAGACTCCCAAGACAACTCTGACTATTTTGAGAGAACTTTGTCACACTGTTTTTTGAGCCTTTGTGACTCGAAAAAAAAAAAAAAAAAGAGAACTCAGATAGTTTCTAGACTCTTGGAGACACAATCCCAAGTGCTGTTTGCAAACTACCCGTAGTCGCTAAAAGTTGCAGGAGGTAGGGATGCACGATATTGGATTTTTGGCTGATATTCAATATGCCGATATGTTCAAACTTATTTGGCCGATAACAGATACCGATACTTTTAATATACGTTCCTTTGTCAGAACAAAGCCTTCTTATTTAGGCTTATTTGCTACAAAAATTGTGTAACAGCTGTAAGAGCTGGTGACATACATTCAGTAACAGCCATATGATATGCATAGCATTTTAACTTATATTAAATGAAGTGTTAAATGTTATTTATTAGCATTAGTCACCTGTGATGCTGTCTTACTTGTGGAGGTTTGTTCCAGGTTCCTAGCTGCAGTGTGAAATCCTCTGCACTCTTGTGCATGAAGGACAGACTTTTTAAGTTCAAAGTGTTTGTTTATCCATTGTGCTGTAAGACTGATCATGTTAACGGGGCTAACACTTGACGTCCAAGTGTCTGTGGTAAAACTCACCCAAGTGCTATCGGCTATTAGCTTCTCAATGACGTCGGAAATGACGGTTTGTAACTCGGGTAAGGTTACGTCAAAAAAATATCTCTGACTGTGGACGATGTAATGAGGCTCAACATAGTCCAAAAATCTTCAGAATCCAATATCTTCAACGAAAAAAAACCTTCCACACCGCCAACATTATGACTTCTTCTTCTCCGTCGTGATCAGATCATGTAGGTGCGCGTGACGTCATCACGTTGTGCTGGCGCTGCAGGCGTCCTTGTCACTGGGTTGTCATACAAAAAACAGCACCTTTTATATCGGTGAGTTATTTTGATGGAATGGCTGATGTCCAATATTTAACTTCAACGCTAACATCAGCCGATACCATGCCGATAATATTGTGCATCCCTAGCAGGAGGGATACTATCTTTGTGAAGAGTAGACATTTCAAGTCGAGGCTGGGAGGGGGGAAAAAAGACTGATAGGGTAGGTGGTTTTTGACAAAAAAAAAAAAAAGAAAAGAAATGATGGACATTCAATTTTTTGTGTTAGTGACTTATCACACCCAAATAAAATTGTCCAAACAATACAATAATTACTTCATATGTATCCTGTTTTTTTTTTTTACAATATAAAATGAAATTCATGTCAAGACTGCAACGCATCACAGATAGTGAAACAGTGACTGAATAGAGGCTTCAGTCGTAACCTTCATTCAAAGCATCTCACTTCCAAGCAGAGCAAAAAACAGGAAGCTGGAATGAGGAGGAGGAAGTAGCTGACACATATTTTCCAGTGTTTCAAATGAGGGAGGGAGGGGGTTGTGTTCAGAAAGCATTGAGAGAATGAGTATTCTGGCTACTTTAGAGCAATTATAACTGGTCTTCTTTATGAACACAGGTCAAAACAGGTCAAGATTAATATCGACCAAAATCAAGACTTATTATTCATTACAAACGTCTTATAATGAAATGTTGCTTAGCCTTTAGCCTTACTTTGATTTTCCTACATAAGTTATGTGTGGATGTAATCAATAAAAACCCATTACGGACTCCATTTGAATTTCATTTAACATAAAGTAACTCTGAACTCTGTAATCTCTGATACATGAAAATGATGAATCTCATTTAGTGGGCAACTAGCTGACATCCTCCCAGACAGCAGCTGCAGCTAATCTACACAACGCCACCATATCCTGTGCTGCAACAGGAAACAGCCTAATTGCAGGCCAGTGCAGATGTGTATGCAAAGTGACAGAGCCAAATATATCCGAGGCCAGGCTGCTCTGGTGAACCCAGAGGGCATGCACTTCTTTCCTTTTTGCTATTTTTCATTTCTGGAGTAGCACAGCAGAATCTGAGCAGCACAGCTCACTAACCTTCAGCCACATTTGTGAGCAAAGTACTCGAGGAGAGACAAGCAAATGCTCTTCTTACCACATTCTAAAGTGAGAAAAATGTGTGCAAGCTGTTAATGAGCTACAGCGTACTGCTCTCATCATTCGCCCTAAGTGTGTCTAGTCTCTACAGGTGCATCTAAAAAAAATTAGAATAACGTGAAAAAGTTCTATATTTTTTGTTAAACATTTCAGAAAGTGAAGCTTGTACATTACGGTACATAGATTCATTAAATATAGAATGAAATATTCCTTGCCTTTAATTATTGCAATTTTGATGATTATAGATTACAGCTAAATAAAAACCAAAACTCAGTGTCTCAGATAATCAGAATATTCCACAGCCAGCTTCTGGTACCTTTGTCAGTGTGTGCAGGAGCCACGTCCTGCTGGAAAATTAAATCAGCATCTCCATAAAGCTCCTCAGCAGAAGGAAGCATGAAGTCTCTAAAATGTCCTGGTAGATGCTGCGCTGACTGTGGACTTCAGAAAACACAGTGGACCAACACCCGCAGAGGACATGAACCCAACCCATCACTGACAGATAAATTCAATAGATGAGCAGGAAACTAGTATTTACTTTAAAAAAAAAAAAAAAAAAGGGGGTTACATCGATTCACGAGGAGCTTTCCATTTGTAAGGTTACCTGTAGGCCTGTCGTGATAAACAATAAATCAATTGATCGCAAGATAAATGAAAATTATCAACCTCATTTTCATTTATCGGCTATATTGTTTCTTCATGTCTCTATCTTTTTACTGAAGACACTGGATGACAAAAGGCTCAACGCCGGTGCTCTTCACTGACCCCGCCCTTTCTATTTTCTCTTTAAAATCCATTTTAACCGTCCAAAATCACTTTTTTAGATTGTTAAAATGCAGCTAAGCTGAGAAGCTAAGCTACAAGCTAAGCTAACAGCCTGACCTTGGGAAAAAAATCTCCGTCTTGTCAAAGCTCCAAAATTCACGGTTGAAAAACTGTGCCTTTGTGTAAAACGCTGTTTTTCTCAGCAAAAAGAAGCTGAGAACCAAAGAGCTCAAACCAAAACAAGCGTCCGCCATTTTGAGAACTGAAAAACAGGAACGACAGACAGCCCATGTCACATCAAGGGGCCTCCCTCCCATTTTTCTTAAAGAGACATGCCGTTTGCTCCCTCACTATCCATCCTTTGGTTCAAACTAGGGGCACAGAAAAAAAATGGATAAAAAAAAAAATCTAGATTCTTAGTCCTGGCGATTCTGAATCGTTTCTAAAGACTCATAAATCGATTTTAAAATGCATTTAATTTTATATTTTTTCTGCTCTTACTCCCAGCTCGGCCGCCGTAGAATTTTGGCTGTGTAGGCCACCGTACAGCAAGCTAGTTAGCCAGCTCCCTTTATCTGAATGGAGCCTGCTAGCATAGAGAAGAGTGCAATTCAACCTGCTTCTTCATCTTTAAAAATCATTTCAGATCCTACAATGTTCCGGGAAAGACAGAATTTAACAAGAGCACAGTTGTTTACAAGAAGTGTAAAATAAAATTGCGGGACAGTATTTTGGAAATACGACAAAATTCACGGAAGATGAAAGCGAAGCAGCCGACCAGGGAACTCTGCAACAAACTTCCAGTCTTCCCCAAAGGCTGCAAAGAGTTCCCTCTCCATCTCCTGCTGTATCACAAAGGATTTATGAGCAGACAGCTCAGTGGAAGGTGAGGG